AGGAGAAACCACTGCCATATACTGCAACTTTTTTTGAGGTCAGTAATATCAAAGTTAGAAAATTATGAAATGGAAAACCGCTGGAATTAGGTAGGGTGATAAGCTTGGTATAAAATACTTCTTCTGTTGGAAAGTTGCAATGTGATGAAAGTTCAAATGTTTGAAGTTGTATTTACAAAAGAAACATTTACTGGACACAATATTTGCCTAATACCACATTTTTATGTAACTGGTTATTGGTCAGAATAATATTAAAATAACCTGTGACAACCAATTAATATTAAAGTAACCTGTGACAACCAATTAACCAGTAGTTTTGTTTGGTTCATCTGTAACAAAAACAGAAAATTGTTATTCCACACAAAATACAAGCAAGCACAATATGTATGAAATTTATATATTTTAATCTTTTGTTTTAAAAAATAAAATTAGAAATTAATACATTTAAAGAATCATTATTCAGGCAACATCAAATTATAGTGGTGAAATTTCCAGAAATAGAAAATACACATTTGCTTTCACCAGATGTTACATTGGCTGTTGAGACTGCATCAGAAAGGAACTTCAGATAGAGCTTCAGAAATATTCAGCCTATTCTCCTGTGACTTAAAATAAATTACACTCCTGTTTCAGCCTTTTATCCCATAATATCCACTATCAATGAAGTGACTACCATATATAGCTCCTTTTTCAATGAATCAGCTGAATTACTGCTGGCCTTTGACAGCTAGCATTGGAATTTGTCATCACTTATAGGTGCTAGGGCAAACAGAGTTTTCAATTTAAGTCCTAACAACTTGCTGCCATGACAATATTTGATGGAATTTGAAAAAACGTTATGGTAATCCTGTCCTTCTGCAATAATAATTGATTCTTCTTCTTCTATGGCACAACAGCCCGAAGTCGAACCTTGCCTTCCTCCTATGTGGGAGCTTTCTTTGTCTTCGAAATGTGCATTTATGAGTAGTGAGTAACAAGCCCATTGCCTCTGCACAATTTCTACTCAATTCTGATTTGTCTGCTAGAGCCATCTAGTAGTGAATCATCCTGTATCATGCTTGTAAGGTTCTTTTATATGCTGTACATCTACAACATGGGACGACCATCTTTACTTTTACTTTAAGTTGTGCTACAGATTTTTATCACCCTTAAAAATCCATCGACCTCGGCCAGGTTTGAACCCATGAACCTTGGGTCCAGTGGCAAGCATGCTAACCACTAGTCCACCGAGGGCGACAATAATAACTGATGGATTCTAGAAATATGAGGCCATGAAACTGTGTTTTCTCACCTTCTTTACCGTAAATGGAATTTCAATTATAAGTACTGCGGAGCTAGTGTCTCTTTGTAAGTCATCTAGTTTGCTAAACAAAAATGATAGGACCACTTCATTGGTTAACAATGTTACAACTGTTGATTTATGGGCTTCCAGTATTTTTTCTGTAATTTCTACATCATTTTCATCCCATGGCTGCAATGTACCCAAATAAATTTAACAATTTTTTATGCAAGATTTCAATTTTATTTTTTGCTCAAGCATGGCATTAAATGGTGATAAGATAACATCTTATGAGAAGCATTATAAGCATTCTACCCTCTACACCTGGAAGAAGAAAGATTTTGAAGAAGATGAAGTCAAAGAAAACCTCTGTACCTTACATAATAGAAATGCTGTCACAAGATGTAAAAATAAATTGGCCCTTTCCTGCCACAGAGCAAACATACTTACATTCATCTACTGGAATAAAATTCATTACTGCATTTCTTTATTAGACATGAAAAAACTGAAGTTTGCATACAGCCTGCAGGTTTTGTAAAGAGTTGTGCTTACCTGCAAGATGTCTTAACTTGTCCTTTACTTCATCATACTTGAACTGTGCCTCAGTCACATCCATTTTGTTAATCACAAGCATTGCTGGCTTGTCCAGCAGATCATCTTGGTACAGCTCCAATTCCTACAAAGAATGTCACCTTGCTTCACTCCACAGAATTCATGACAGTAAGCTATACACTGTATTCCCACAAACTTATCCCTTCATATTATTCACTTTAAATATCAGTCCCCAGTGTCACATAAGACTGCCACACAACTACAGTCCAGTTTAGTTCCCTAACATCCATTCTCAGTTAAATTATCATGTGGAGAAAAAGAGTATCCTCAATTGTTTTACCAGATTTTATGAACTTGAATGAACATCATACTGCTAGAGGTCATTATCAAGAGCTCTATGAACTTCTGAAGTGGAAATGATACTAGTACCATCTATTGTGAGTCTTTTTCTTTGATTGATTATTTGAGTTTAGAGGGGCTGCAGTTTCTTTTTGAGCCTACACATTACTTAAGGTAAAACAAATGTGGGACAACATGGAGTAAGATTACTCTGCATGCAAAAGTGCACAAAAAAAGGACTGCTTACTATACCATAACAATAATAATAACCACCACCACAGGCAAATAACTTAATTTGACTAACCTCCTTAACAATACAGAATAGAGTTTCTGTGTTTTTCTTCATGGTATTTCTGTTTTTTACCCAGTAAATTAATATTAGCATAGTCCAGAATCTGGTGTGTACAATTTGGAAGTGCAACAGAATGAGAGGGTTGTACAATATTTCTCTCCTAACTGAATTTTAGGCTTTCTTGAAGTTTATAAACAGCTGATATACTGTTCCATTGTAGTACTTCCTCCCCCCCCACCCCACCCCAGTACCTGACAATTGCAGGAAATTAATGTCTGATCAGCAACTGACTGATCACATCAAAAGTTACACTGATGATTCCCAGTAATTTCATTTCATTTGTGCAATGCAGTAAACATTGAGAGAACAATGCTAGATAATATTTTGTATGCGGATGATGATAATATTTCTCAATATGAACTTATCAGTTTTATAAATACCTACAGTAACAAAATCTGCTGAGTACTTTTGGAGATAAGACCTATGGATAAATTGACTCTATTGGACAGTAATAACTTCTTTTTTCTCTGTTATTGGAATACATGCATGATGATAATGCATATTTCTGAGGGTATGGTGGCAGAACACATAATCTCTCAAATTTTTCTTGTTTCTTGAAATTTTGTATCATATGCTCCCATCTGTCTTACAATTAGTCTTCTTTCACCAGAGCATCTCTATAAGGATTGTCAATGCCAACCGTAAAAGTGCTCATAGGTCTCTCATATATAATTATTGCTGTACCTTGTTCAGAAGTACAACTGTATCGAGGCAGGATCTATTGGGAAACTGGGGTCCAAGTTGGAAGCCTTGAATGTCAGCAACCAGCAACAGCAGTTTTGTTCTCTCAACATGTTTTAAGAAACTATGTCCCATACCAATATTCATGTGTGCACCTTCTATCAGGCCTGGCAAATCTGCCATTGTGATCTGCCGATGGTCTGAGTACTCCAGCACTCCAATGTTCGGCATGACTGTTGTAACTGTGACAAACAGTAACAATATAATTCTGAATTACTTCATATGCTATGCACTTCATGGCAAATAGAAACAACATGACTCTAAATTATTTCTTATGCTACACACTAACAACAGTGGTTTGTAACATACATGGATATGAAGCTACTTGAGGGTTGGCCCTGGAAATGGCCCGAAGAAGTGTCGACTTCCCAGCATTAGGGAAACCAACAAGTCCCACATCTGCAATGAGCTTCAGGTCAAGTTTGACAGAGAGTGGCTGTGCGGTCTGTCCATTGAATTGCGTCAAAGGGCTTCCTCCTGCACCACCGTTTGCCACCAAGAGAGAGCTACCATCTGTGTTTAGTTCCCCTGAACAAGAATGAGCCATCTTTTATGTAATCCTTAAAAAACTAGTGTTTGCCATTGGACATAAAAGCTAAGTGCCCAATATAATACACCAACTCCTGTGCAATCAACGTCCAGTGAAGTGTTACATAAATATGATTTTGAAAAATACATACCATTTGTACCCTGTTTAAAATCCATAGGTGCTTCTGGGGCTAAGCCCAACTTTATTTTTGGAATAAAAAAATGAGAGTGGATTTTCAAAAAGCACTTTGTACATTGCATATACAATTTATATAAAGAAAGAAGGTAGTTCAATGGTCAAATCAGTGTCAGGAAATTCACACCTTATATAGTTTTGCTTTAACACACGTGATAATGGAAAGCAAGAAAATATTGGAACTGCATTTTAACCTTGGTTGCCCAGACTATGTCAAACAAGCCTCTCATAGTAATAAATACTGCTTGAACAAGACTGTTTCACCACAGCCTACTAGCCAAGACAGGGTAATGCTTTTATTCAGAGAAAATGGTTTTCCAGTATTGTGTAAAAGGTCTTACTGGGGTCTACTACCCCTTGACATCGCAATAAACATACTTCACCAAAGGATGTCAGTAGTAGATGGGCATTATTCTTATTCTAAATTCTGCATGTTCTTCCTGCCTCCTGTAAATACACTGCCAGTCAGTTGCCACTGCACAAAGGTGGGGGAAAGAACTCAGGTCAGTGACATTCAAATATACATAAGAATATTCATTGTATCTGAGCAGTAACAGTGGAGTGGTATAATCTGTTACAATCTGATATTGAAAAAAAGTCTGTGAATGTGTTGTTGAGAACAATATAAGTTATTTTATTTTTATTAGCAATCCAGAACCTTCAACAAAACATGCACAAAAGGATCACAACATAAATGCTGAAGCAAATGAAGCATGCAATATAATAGTGACACAAATGAAACATTTCGAAGAAGCAAGGCACACTCTACTCTTTACTCTGTTTGAACTACAGCTTTTCACAGGGCAAAAGGAAGGTTTTCCTAGTGAACTCATGACTAGTGTTAAGAAATACTACCCCATGCTTTGAAGGGATAGATAAGAGATTGAATTATCTATAGTTTATAGAAATGACACATTTTCCAAATACAAAATCCATTTTTGCTCTTTGGGATCTAGTGAAAGAAAACAACCTGGAAAACACCCTCTCAGATACGCAAAACTAGTGGAAATAGTACTAACACCAGTTTCAGTCATGGAGTCAGAACGTTGTTTTAGTACTCTAAAGAGAGTAAAGACCTACTTCAGAAACTCCATGGGACAAGAAAATCTTAATGCTCTAGCTGCTCTGAGTATCCAAAAAGATTATTCTCCGAGATTCAACCAGAAAATAATTGAGTTGAATGAATCTCAGAAAAACTGAAAAGGGAAGTTGTTCTGCCATCACCCCACCAAAAACAGGAACATGAACCTTGGGATACCATAAACCACATGTTTTGTTACCTGTCTGCTATCTAATACCGAAATAGGAGGTTATGTGTATAAGTTAAGCACACATTAACTAAATGACAAGGTGATGGCAGGAGATTAGAAAATATTTCTAATATTGCATACGTAACTGGTATTGTTATTATACAAGTTCTAGTTCCTGTAATCAGTAACCTCCACAAAAATACCATATAGGCTGTTAACTATGAACACCAAACAACTTTTATTCAAGACATTCTCTCATGTGGCAACTTGGTGAGGTACAATTAAAAAGAATTAAGGTATTTAAAATTATTTAAACATGTGTACAATAGATATGACAAGTTTCACTGAAATCTGTCAAAGGTATAAAACATACAGTGTATACAAGTTCACACAGCCCATAAATATGGTGGTTATTAAAGTCAACCAAATCAAAATCAAATAGTGTATGTTATAATATGAACTATTTTATGGACAGATGATGTATCACCAACAGATGCACTTTCAAGAACTTATTACAGAAATAAATCATACCAGTATGAGTTTCACATTTCATACTGGGGTGAAACACGGTCTACTTTCTGAGAAAAAGAGATTGCAGGTACCATACTTGAAAATGAAGTGCCGAAAAGAACGTCAAAACCTATGATGGAGAAAGAAATAAAAATTTTATAAAAGTATACAATTAAAAGCTTTATACTTATTAAAATGTAGTTAGTACACATAGCAAATAGAGCAGCTGAGGTTTACTGGGCATAAAATGATGCTCTATAGACAGTTATTATTATTTAGTGTTCTGTCTGATGACAGGTCCATATGAACAGGATCCTTCCATCCTTTTCTCGGACTGGGACCTGTTCATATACGTTCTTGGCAGATGATCCAGAAGTGGTTTGCCATTGACTTCTTCTGTGAGTAAATGGAGCAATTGTTGGGATGCCACGGAGAAACCGGGGAAGCCCCCGGAGGAAAACTCTGTGTTGCCTAGACCACGGCCTTGCCCAACACGAGTTATAAATTCGGGCACCGCCGGGAATCGAACCCGAGACCCCAGGATTACAAGGCCAGCATTCTAACCGTTAGACCACCGTGGCGGTCTATAGACAGTATGGAATATAAAATTGTAAATGAGGCAATAATATTAATATGGACTGTGAGGATGTAAAATGAACTGAACAGTTCAAGGTAGAATTGTAGGCCTTCACAGTACTGTTGATAAGCCTTCAAGTTGTGGAGTGGTATTAAATTTATATTTTTAAAAATGACTCAGTGTAAGGGAAGTAGCTATACAGCATAGTATATTCAACTTGTGAACATATACAATGTTCATTGGAACTTTTTATGTATTATATTTAGTGAGATACATGTAAAAATTGAGAGTCCTACTGAGTTGCCTATGCAACTATGATTAATTTCTCCTTCAGTAATATTTGTATATAACAAATTTCATCAAAAGATTTGTGAGTTTAAAGGTGAGACATATACAGTATAGCCTTATGATTTTGTGTTTCCATGCAGAAAGAAATTACAGAATATGTTCTTTGAGCTAAACAAATTATTCAAGTGAAAAATTCAATTACAAGCTTTGTTCTCTGGAGGAAAAGCAATAGATATCCATTATTTTACTATTAAAGAATAATGATGTCTTTACTACACCAAATATATAACAGCAGAAAATTAGGACAACAGCACCAAGAGGAACTGAAACGTCTATCAAAGCAGTTGCTATTAGCTAAACAAAATGCGCAGGAAACATTTTTACGGACAATATTAAGAAATGAAGGTAAATGCTGGATTGATTTCTACAAGTATGTAAAATGACGTAAAGGTAACGGAAAATATTCCGGCGATCAAACATGGTAATGTACAGTTCATTACTGATTCGATAGAAAAGGCTAACTCCCTTAATTTGTACTATTCTTCAGTATTCAGCTGCGAGCACAGCAGATACAATGCGCTAACTCAGGCGAACCCTTCACTATTAGTACTAAAATCATTAGGAAAAGGCTAGCAGAGATAGGAAAAATCAAATCAGTAGGGCCAAACAGCGTTTCTGGTGAAATTCTAAAACTGGGTGGGGAAGCCATGATTCCATACCTTATGCGATTATTGGACATAACAATTAATAATGCCACTATAACAAGGGACTGGAAAAAAGCCATAGTGGTTCTTATTTACAAAGGAGGTGATCAATCATTGGTCACAAATTACAGACCAGTCAGCTTAACCTCGGTGGTCTGCAAACAAATAGAACATGTTATAGCATCGTACCTGAGGAAAGTCTGGGAGGAAAAGGATTGGTTATTCAAGGGTCAACATGGTTTCAGGCTGGGATATTCATGTGAAAGTAAAGTAATCATGGTTTGCCAGGACACTGCAGACTCACTAGACAACGGAGGCAGGTTAGACGCTATTATAATATATTTTTGGAAGGCCTTCGATTTAGTTCCTCATGATCGGCTGCTCATGAAAATCGCGAAACCAGGCTGCTGAGGTTTTAGGGACTCTCTCCTGTAAACCAAGTACATTTAGGAAGAAGGTTAGGAAAGCGATAAATGAGGTGAAGTAAAGGGAATACATGGGTGGGTGCAGTGAAGGGGGGTAAATTGGGGTGAGGATGGGAAGGCTTCATAAGTGTAGTGAAATGAAGAGAAGGTCCTGATGAAATGTGAGTGCATCAGTTCATGACGTATGTAATTCATTACTGTTACTGTCTTATGTCTACTTGGTATTAATTTTTAAGTTATCTACTTCAAGTTATCTGTTGTGGTTAAATACTTGTGTTTTATTTTGTGTAATGTATGTGCCTTATGGTTTTGTAATTTTATAAGTAGTTTTATTTAGAGTGTGGCGTGTTATTTTGTGTGATGTGTTGTTTTGTTTGTGTCTTATTGTAGCACCACTGCCACCGGGTATAAACCCATTTGCAGTTAATAATAATAATAATAATAATAATAATAATAATAAGCCCCGTTTAGGGTGGCAGAAAAAGCTGAGCAGCAAACAAAACGTCTGGACGCGAAGTTAAAGTTGGAAAGGCAACTGGTATCCAGAATTCACTGCGTGATTAACTATGTAAACTCTGGTCGGAGATTTACCACCAAGCTGAGGCTTATCGCCCGCTCTCTCAAGGCCAAGTATCACACACTAAACAAGAATACGCTGCTGACCATCAAACAGCACTCTCTGGACAAAATACGGGCACTAACCGCGGACAGGAATAAGTTAGTGAAACGTTATAGGGCCGTAAAGGAGAACACCATCTTTCGTGTATGCCCTTCCCGTCTCTTCAGCAAGAACACTCCAGTCGTTCATACCCCACCAACAGCAACGCAGGTCGAGTCATTCTGGAAGAAACTCTACGAAACTAGATTTCCGTTGAACATAGATTCTCCGGCCATTGGCCTCTTTAGGCAGTTCTGCGATCGTCATTTAGAGGATGATGATGTGCCCCTAGTGATCACCGAACAAGATGTGAAACGTGCCTTTACTGGCAAAAAGAATTTTTCTGCTCCTGGAATAGATGCCATCAATAATTTTTGGTGGAAAACTTTCACGAGCACACACAAACAT